TCTCTCCCTGTTTCTGCTCCCTCATTCTCTCCCTGTTTCTGCTCCCTCATTCTCTCCCTGTTTCTGCTCCCTCATGCTCTCCCCGAAGATCCGCCTGTACGCCCGACCCAACGCCATCAGCAGGGGTTCCGGCGACTACGCCCTGAACATCACCAAGAAGCTTCTCCAGTTCTATGAAGACTACTTCAAAGTGAAGTACTCGCTGCCAAAGTTAGGTAAGAGCCCCGCCTTTGTGCCGCATCCCCGGATTCTTCCGGACAAAGCGGACGTCGATCTGGAGGAGGGATAGGGCTGGATCTGAGCAGCTCCGCCTAAGCTCCCTGAATGATGTCTTCCGCTGTAGCGATCGTTAGCGGTGCACTGTCTGCCCTCTCAGTTGCCGGCGACGCCTAGGGACACCTGATGTGTGAAATAAGGGCCGTAAGGTGCCGGAATGGGTGAAACTGCTCTGCTTTGTAAACTGCTTGTGCTTTGTTGGCTCGTTGGAGCCGCTCTCCCTCTGGCTTCCTGTGAGCCCGACATCGCGGGAGATCGCTGCTGCATGTGGCCTCTTTTCTTTCCAAACTGATTTTACTTAAACCTGATGGTTTTGATGTTTCTGACTCTGTAATATTAGGCTATGAAATTTTTCCGCTTTTGGGGATTGTCATTGCACTTTAGGGTTAATGCCTTATCCTAGGAATAAAGCAGCAAGGATGTCGTGGGATACGAACCAGCAACCTTCAACTTTACAAGCCAAAATACACTACTGTAAGTGACATTGAGTTCAGTTCAAATGTAGTGCGGTCCATGGTTCCTGTACAAGCAAAGTCAAAGGGCTTGTAAAGGTGAGATCTTTTCTGAGTGATGGAACATCATAAGGTGTTCATTGGAACCAGACCTAAAATACTGTCAGTATGTTGTTTGCTCATCACCAGATTCCAGTCGGGCAGCTGTCTGCTTGCACTATGTCTCACGGGCAGCAGCTGTATCACTCTTAGTGCTTCAGATGTGCCCAGTGAGGATGCCAGTTTGCTCATTTTTCTTATCTACACTCTTCTACAGTCCGAGTCCATATCGTGGAATTAAATCAACAGCTTCAATTACGTGGCGCTGGATTTTATCAAGCGACTGCCGAGTGTGGAGACTCACGCCCCACCCATAAGCTCCCGCTGCTCCCACATCGCATGCAGCTATAGAGCAAGAAAATAAATGAAGAAATACGTAAGTGAGAGAAGATTACGTGCGTCGTAAGTTGATATAAGCAGCAACAGCGCTGATCACCTTTCGAACCGCGCATTTGGGTGGGGCTGCATGGTTTGGGTGCCCCCTGCTCTCCTCTGAACTCGTCCCTGGGTATAGATGATGAAAACATCTTTCTTTCTTAATGTGCGGGCTTCTTAATGGACTGAATAGGTTTCGTTGTTCCAATGGTGATAAACTCTTGGAGCCTTAAATGAGTCAGTGCATGTGACCCACTAAGGCGAGAGGATTGAACGAATCCTGTTGAGTCTCGGGCATCCGGGCATAAAGCGATTGCTCTGCACGTCCTTGCTAGAGAAGTGGTCTGGACATAATTTTTTACTCTGATTATATAATGGCGCCATCTGGGTCCAAGGTAGAGGCAGTTACAAGCCCCAAGGACCACAAGTGAAATGCAGGGCGGTGGAGATGAGTTGAGCGAATGCCGTGACGGCTGGGTCCTGAAGAAGACCAAGGGTAATTCCTCCATTATGCTCTTTCACCCTTAAAAACGGGTCGACACGCATCCAATTGGTACATTTTTAAAGCCCAGGATTGAGGATTCAGCTGAGGCCATAAAAAAGTGAAATTGGCTTATAGAAAAGGAGAGATGCATCTTAAACCGTCACTGCACACAGGCAAATGTCCTCTTTTCTTCTCATGACTTTCTTTCTGCTGATAAGTCTACATTTTAACACTTATAAAAACCAGCTTATAGATAACTTTCTCTGTTTATTGTAATGTGAATTATAGTTTATAGTCTTTATAAGAAACCATATGATTTGGGGGCATTTCTGCCATTTCTTTCTGGTGTGAGACAAATAAACAGGCTTGGCGAGCAGGTGGGGGCGATGAGAATCGGGTCATTGTGGTGTATTTGGGAATGACGGTCAGATCGCCGTCTGTCAGCCGAGATGCGGCGCTTGTCACCTCCCTCTGTTTCGCCTGAGCTGCTTGCTGGCGTTTGTGCTTTGGAGTTATTTTGGATGTGATTGTTTTATTGTGAGAACGTTAAGTTAGGAGGGTGAGAAAAACAACAACAATGAATGAAGTTAACAACTTTAAACGAACAGAAAATACAGCTTAATTTCACAGCAGATTAGGGTTCTGCCTGTGAAGGGAAGGTCGCCGGTTCGAATCCTCTGCTCCCTTGGACCCTTGAACAAGGTCCTGTGCTCTGTGGGGCCCTTGAGCAAAGTCCAGGGCTCTATGGGGCCCTTGAGCAAAATCATGTGCTCTGTGGGGCCCTTGAACAAGGTCCTGTGCTCTGTTGGGCCCTTGAGCAAAGTTCTGTGCTCTGTGGGGCCCTTGGACAAGGTCCTGTGCTCTGTGGGGCCCTTGGACAAGGTCCTGTGCTCTGTGGGGCCCTTGAACATGGTCCTGTGCTCTGTGGGGCCCTTGAACAAGGTCCTGTGCTCTGTTGGACCCTTGAACAAGGTCCTGTGCTCTGTTGGACCCTTGAACATAGTCCTGTGCACTGTGGGGCCCCAAACTTGTCTTTCACCTCTATATCTGTGTCTGTCTTAAAGACGAGGAGAACAGGAAGGTTTTTGTGAAAGCGTATTCCAATGCACCTGTTCTCATACATGTACAAACTGCAAAAAAGCTTCCTTTCATTTCCAGTGCATCATTGGATCAGGCTGTAAGGGACCCTTTGGTGGCCCTCGAGCTCCAGGATGATGTTCTTAGGTGTGCTGTCTCTCATCCCCCCACCAAGTCCAGTGTGCCCCCCCCCCCCTTTCTCTGGAGTGGGGGTATCATCAGCTTATCCATGGTCCAGCAGCCCAAAAGACCTTGTGTGATCCTTCCATCACCTTTGTGTTCCTACACTGCTGGACTTACCGGCTTAGTGTTTCGTGTGGAGCATTACCTGCCAAGCCTTTCATGGTTTAATGTCGAGCAGGATCGGCTTCAGAAAAGTTATGTTGTTGGAGGATGAAGCTGATTTTTATCTTGCTCTTTTGTCCCTAGCTGGGATGCAGAGGAGTTGCCACAGGTGATTGTGCAGGTTCTTGTTTGTACTCTCATTTATAACAATTTGTAAGGCTAATTTACTGCCAACCATTAAGAACATAACTGATGCGGAAGAGCATCTACAGATAAATAAATTATTCATCACCTGAAATCTGCACGGCCTTAATGTGTCAGAGACTGTTATATTCACTCTTGGATATTCCTGAGTAGAGATAAATATAGATGGATTGTCTCACTGCTTTGGATTACAACAAAGAGTCGTGTTCTGTTACAATTTCAGCATCGCGGATCAAGGCGTGCAATCAGTGTGAAGGGATGGATGTAGGTAGGAGGAAATCACGGAGATGTGGTGGTGAAGTCGCTAAGGGAGAGGAAGGAGGGAAGCCACAAGCAGACAGATGTACAGCCTGTGGGTTATATTAAGGGGCCAGAGGACCTAAAGGAAAGCAAGGATGGCCAGTCCTGATGTGCTGGGAGTGGTTTCGAACCTGGCATATGAACAATAACTAGAAAGGAAATGAGATGGTTCAAAAAATACTGCACGTTTAGTAAGTGTTAGTTGGTCCAGTGATGCTCAGATATTGTGTAAATGCTGGAGAGCATCTGGATGGATGATGGGGATGTTTAGTTCAGGTCCAGGAGGAGGTGGCACTGGAACAGGAGCCACCCTGAGTGCCTCTAAGGGCTGCCTAAGGACTTCAGTCAGGTTGATGGGCGTTGAAAGGTTCTGAACACACAATTGGCCTAATAGTGCTGATTCTTTATACCGGCGCTGAGGAATGTGTGCCAGATTCTTTTTATTTTATTTATCCTTTATTTTACCAGGAAGGTTCCATTGAGATACAATATCTCTTCTTCCAGGAAGTCCTGGTCAAGATGCAGATTAGAAAATAAGACAAAAGTTTCATATACATGCACACACAGATGATTAATATGAACACAAACTAAAACACATACAAATACTCTCCAAAAATACATGGAATGAAATTAATTTATATGCCCTCAAAGTTGTGAAAAGTACAATAATTATAGTATGATGCTATAGCTGGATTTGAAAGCCGGAACTGCAGCGCATGGCGACTTTCGGACGAGGGATCGGAGACGGCGATGATAGATGGACTTCTCCAGTTTTGCAGTTGCCAAGCTGAGATGGTGCTCAGCCAAAATGGTGCAAGTTTCTCCAGCGCCGTGAGACTGTAACAGCCCAAGGTCTTCACCGGCCCGCTCTCATTTCCTGGTGTCACCTGAAGGTCAGCTTGGTAATGAATCATCACGGTATCAGCATGCGGATCGCTGGGTTCCTCTCATTACCAACGCAGCAGCGCTGCTTGTCTGACCCTTAACGCAGCGATGGCCGCTCTCCCTGAAAATCATGGCCCCCCTTAATATTCCATTTCCCGTCACAATCTTGTGCCGTCGGGCTGAAAAGCATGACCAAGCAAAATGCAGCGATCGGTATCTGACCTCCAATTTTAACGGGTTCCTCAGAGAACCTTCGCGTAATCCCACTATGGGGGCGCTTTCAAGGACCGACGGCAGCACACAGCCCGAGATCTGGCTCCAGTAACACATCACCGTCCAATAAAGGAACTTAAAGCATGAATGTTTTAAGCTTAAACTAGTCCTATGTGGGCTTTGTTTAAAAATTAAATAGATGTAGAATTTCAGTCTGGCTTGTGGTTTTCTAATACTCTTCTATAGCATTTTTGTTGTTTGTTTGGTCCACGTAAAGTAATAGCGAATACATTCATTAATCACTGCAGATGTCCTGAGTATGGAATTGTACTAGATGATATATTGGATTAGTGTGCTATTTAATAGCTATAAAACCACTTACTTAGCACAGATGATGATACAGGAAATATTAGACTGATTGAAATACAAGAGAAGATGGTGTGACCTCAATTTTCATTAGTGTCACTTTTAACTTTTACTGCGTCTTAATTAGTAGCTAAGTGTTCCTTACAGCAAGCTAACTCTTGGGGTGATATCACCAGATGGCTGAATGACATGAATTTTT